TCCACAGCTCCTTGCGTCGGCATGACGGGCTTTCGCGGGTACCCGTCGTCGGCGTCCAGGGCCCTCGTGGCGGCCCATGCTCTTCGCCTCCTTAATGTGGCGCCAGCGGGAGCGGGAGTGCACCTTGACGGGCTTGCGGATAATCAGGCCGTCCTTGATGAGCTTGCGCACGCTCTTGCGCGAGTTCGCGTTGGAGATCTCCGACGCCTCATTGGGGTCCAGCCACACGCGGTGGCGGCCGCAGCGGAGGATGTCCGCCGCCAAACGAGCCTGCAGCTTCAGCGACACCATTGTCTGAAGAGGTTGAAGTAGCGGATGCCTGTAATTCAATAGCGGTGGAGGGAGAAGAAAAAAGGGGACAGCGGACAAGTGCGTGAAGACGTAGGAGAGCGCAGTGCAAAAAGTACTCACAGGCGCCCACTGGCGGACAGACGCACAAAACCACACGTGCAGCCTGTGGAAGAAGTTGTCCCCGGTCCTATTGAGAGGAACAACGACAGGGACAATCCTCTCCTCGGAGTTCCCACCGCGCACACGCAGGCGTCGGCAGACATGCAGCGCATACATAGATGCAGCAGAAAGTCCCGCCTCGTCTCCTCTTCTTCCGTACGCGGTGAGGAGGGTAACAAAACAAAAACAAGAAGACACGGAGGGCCGCACACGCAATGAGATAGAGTGGGAGGGCGAAAGCGACGCCGGCCCTCTCCGGCCCACCCGCGCAGACAACACCGGAACCTCATACTTAGCTTCAGCTTGCCACGCTTCGTGGGCAGCGCCGCCAACGTCGCCCCGCCCAATGCCGCCACGATGCATTGTGGCCTGACAGCCGCCGCCGTCCCTCACTCACGCCTTATTGCTACTCACCGAGGAGTGAAACCCCCATGAGGTCATCCTCATCCTCATCATCCTCATCACCATCATCAAGGTCATTGTTAGTTGTGGTCGTACTATGATTACGCGTGGCACCTCCGTCGCCTGCTGCACCCCGCTGTTTTTGTGCCTCGACCGCGACACCCTCGTAATACAACTCATTGGAAAAGAGCTTCACCCGCACGTGGTTTTCGGCCTCGTTTCCCCCGCTTGTGAAGCGCAGCGAAAACTGCCGCGCAGCCTCTGCTGCCGCCTCATGCGCCGCAAACTCCACAAAAAAATGCACGCAGCCCCTCTCTTCGTTCCCACCGTACCGCTGCTCAAATATAAAGTACGAGACGACCTTTCCGTACTGGCAGCACTCCTCCAAATAAAGCAGCGCCGTTGGCTTGGCGTCGCTCTGAGCGTCGCAAAAAACTGAGAGGCTTGGGGCAATCTGACGAAAAACGAGAACAGTACGCCATAACTCAACCTCTGATAAGGCAAGAAATTTGTGCAGTGGAAACGAGGTCGTCCCCTTCACCGCAGAGGATGCTTCTTGAGCACGTTGACGAAGGCGGGCGCGGTGTGTGCGTGCGTTCACCGTGCCCTGATCCGTGTCTGCGTTCCCCGTCGCGTTCCCTGCCTCTTCCGCCGCACCCTCCTCACCAACGAGGCGCAGAAATAGCGGTTCCTGAGAAATGGACCTCGCTGTGGCAGAAAACACAGAATGCAACATCACCGCACCGGCAGCCACACGCGTCATTGCGCCGCGCTGCAAGAAGCACTGTACAACGCTGCCATCAAAGATCTGCCCGGAGAGTTCGTCGTCGAGGTGCCGCATCAGCAACGCGGTTCGTGTCGGATGCGTGGCACCGTCGCCTACGGGCGTGACGATGGCTAGCGTCTCCGCCACAAACCACGTCCTCGCATTGGTTGCAGTGCAGCAATCAGAGTCTATGCATCCGTAGGCCAACTGCACGTCTACGACGGACCCCACGCCGCCTTCACCGTCGGCAGCGGAGGAAGGGGCTGCCTCAAACCTTGACCAAAAACTCTGGGCGCGTCGCTTCGTCTCCACCGCAAATTCGTCAAAGGCAGCTGCATCAAGCATCAGGCGAGAGTGCGAGAGTGCGTTGTGCACCACCAATCGGGGAAGCGCCGCTGCAGGCGCTTCGCAAACGGCAACGTCATCTTCGTCCTCATCGCGCCTACGCTTGCGAGGAGCGCCGATCGCATGTTCTTCGCTGACGTCAGCCTGCGGCAAGGTGTCTCTCAGGGCAATTCGCACCACCTCCCGCCTAGCTGTGCCATCGCCGCGCCTCTCACGCGACACACGCAGCGTCTCAAAGAGTTTCTTCCCTTGCTTACATCCACCACCTACCAGACAATACATCTGACATCGGTGTGGGAGCCCACTGGAGGTGGTACCGCCTTCCCTGCCTCCTTGAGGCGCTTTGGTCTTTGCCCGCTGCAGCCCCGCGATGACAGGCCTTTTGTGTCCCACAAACAACCGCTGCAGCATTGGCCCGTAGCCCAAGGCATGCTGCAGGTCCAGGTCCAGAAAGACTAGCTGGGTGACAAAATCCAGCGAATACGGCCGCCATCGCGTTGATGACGACGTCCACCGAGAATTGTGCGAGACCTGGTAGAGAATTTCCTCAAGGCCATCAAGGGCTGCAAGTGGGCTCAACCGTGCTACGCTCTCCCAGAGAGGCAAAGTGCCCACAACAATGTCCGCCCTTTTCTCGCTTGGCATAGGCGGGTAGGCCCCGAACAAGTTGTGTGATACTAGATGCAGAGCCGAGCCGAAACGATCAAGCAATGCGTACAACTCATCGCACTGGTCCTTTGTGGCGCACAACACCAACGCCTGAGGCCCTTGTTCACGCTCCAGCATAGGCCGATGTGAAACGTGAAGAACAACAGAGAGACACAAGGCGCAGAGGGCCTCAACTTTTGCGGAACAGTGTTCAGTGGCAGCCGCAAGCCGCTTCGCATCCTCCGCGGAGGCTAACTTTCGCCGCAGCGCCACCTGCGTGTCCAACGAATCCTCTGACAAATTAACCCCCGTGCCCTTCAGGTCCAGGAATACATCTTCCCCGTGAAGTGCATTTAAGTAACAGTTCCAAAACCAACTTCCACCAAACCCCAACGCCGTATCATGTCGCGGAATCATCTCTTTCAGTAGCGGTACAAAGGACGGGGAAATACACCTCTCCTGAAAAGCCGATGACGTCGCCGTTAACTGACGCCCACCTTGCACATCCAGCATGGGAATACCGCAAGCATGAGGGAGCGAAGAACCGCCTAACTTAAAGAAATCGCTGCTCATTGGCGCTGTGCTTTACTTAAGGGTGTAACTCAGAAGCATCGGTGATTGTCGAGAAGAAGTTTTTCCTCATGGACGTGTATTACGTCTAACCGCTTCTTTGACTGGTTGGTTTGTAGTTAATTGACGGGCATCATTGCGGCTAATCGCGGCGTTGTTAAGCAGTTAATAAGGAATCATCAAAGGGGCTGAGCAAACCCTCTCAAAAAAAAAAGCTGTCATTCTATAATATATATATATATAAAAACAAAGAAGGCGTATTGCACACCCACCCCCACACAAGCAACTGCCCCATACCTACCGTTCCACACAACACAACACAACACAACACAACACAACACACGCCACCAGCTACAAGTGCATTAGGAAGCATAAAGTGGCCTCCACTCCCCCACCCCATCAGTAAGTCACAGCCACCACAAGACTGCAGAGCATAACAGTAGCAGAGAACACCCACACCGCACGCCACCGCGGAACCTCTGGCACAGAGACATCACCCACCTCGCTGACAGGATCGGCATCTTTTGGTCCAACCACAACAGAAGCAAGTGCATTCGTTTTCAATGCGAAGTTGGCAGGACGCAATCTACTTTGTAATCTCATTTTGGATGCAGGACCAACAAGAGTGACGGAGCTCTTCAGAGACCTCGCATCTCCTTCCAACTCCTTCATCATTTTATATTGACTTACAACTATGGCATTCTTAATCGCAGCCGTTTTCTCAGGATGAATATACCGGCAACGCGAGCCATAGCCACATCTACCACTCATGAACTGTGCACAGATATCAGCACCGATACGCGACTTCGCAACTTTCTCGGCAAAAAGAACCTTCTTCGCCTGCTTCGGCGCCTGATTCGCACTGCCGCCAGCACGATTCGAAAACAGCCAAGAATGTGCAGACAGCTGTTCCTTGTATCTCTGCTTCTCCTCCTCCATGTCACCAATCTTGCGCAGAAGTCCTAGGTGAAACGGGTTATTCGCCGGATCAGGGCACGCTAGTGCATTGTATCGCGTTGCAAGTTCTATTTCCTCAGCATCGTGGGAAGCCACCATTGTATCGTCTAAGCGCACGAACAGGATATTTGGGTTAGTGCAGACAAGGCGAAAGACGGCCTTGATGGTGGCGTTCCCGCCTCGCGTGCCAGACAAATCCAAGGCCCGGATGCAGGGATGACCCTCCAGCGCGCGACAAAGTGGCACGAGTGAGGTGTCGGAAACGTCAAGATACCTTATCTGGAGTGAGAGAATGGAGCTGTTGTGCTTCACCGCTGCAGCGAAGCATATCAGGTCACAATCACCAAACTGTGACCGGCCATCATAATCCTCCAAGCTGACACCTTGTGCGACATTTTGCACTGTCTGCTGAATGAGGATATTGATGTCCATACCAGGCTCAAACTCCTCAAACTCGTACGCATCCAACAACTCACATCCTCCTTCACTTGATTCAGTGGAGCACTCGCTACCAGAGTCCGCAAGGTAATGATCATAAACTGCCCTCTTCCTGTTCTTCTTCCTCTTTCTTTTCGCCCTCGCAATCTCGTCTGCTGATGGCAAAATCGCCTCTGACAAACCAAAACCCCCGTCGGCCGCGGGGCATTCAGCATCCCCCCACATTGAAGCTAACACTTCGACAGACACAGAAGAAGATGCGCACTAAAGGAAAAGAAGACACGCAAAAAAAAAAGACCGCCAATACGCACAACTTGTGCATACACCCCACACAGGGCACGGCAATCCACTAATTAGCTCAAACTATTCAATTCATGCACCGTGTAAGAAATAAGCGCCCGCGTCCACTTCATCTCCCATTCTCAGCCTTGCTTATTAGAGCTATTTTAGTGCCTAGGGTTACTCCGTAAAAACAAAAACGGAGATAATTAGAAAATTAAAAATAAAAATAGTGGGCAAGAGGCCTTAGTCTTGGCATGGAAACTATGAAAAATGGCCAAGAAATGGGCCCTTTGGATTCTTCAGCCCTCGTTAACGTCGCATTCACACATACCCAATATTTTGTTCCCCAATGTTAGGACAAATCGTCCAGCTTCATCCACGCCCTTTCGTGAAGAGGCGATACAAAATCCAACTCCGGGGCATCAAGAGCAACGCAAGACGAAAAACAGCCTCGCCGAGACTAGGTAAGGATCGGCATCGCCAGCAGGTCTCCGATCCTCCATGTACCCCTTTTGCTCTGCGGCAACAGCGTTAGGAATACGAATCGAGGTATGCCTCGTACCAACACCGGCGGTCACCTCGTTTAGCCTTGAGGACTCGTGCGTCCCCGTGAGTCGTTCGTTGTTTTCAGCCCCATAGAAAACAATGTCCTTTGGCATGGTTTTCTTCAATCTCCCCACATATTCGTAAATTACACTCAGCCCATTCTCAGCCCGAGTGGAAGCTGTAGAAAAATTGGTATGAAGTCCGCTGCCATTCCAATCGCCCCTAATGGGCTTTGCGCGATAGTCTACTTCCAAGCCATCTTCTTCCAGGAGCCGTAGCAATACCCATCGTGCTACAGTCAACTGATCTCCCATTTCAATACCCTCGCAGGGGCCCACTTGAAACTCCCACTGGCCAGGCGCAACCTCTGCATTCGTGCCAGATATGTTTAACCCCATCTGTAGGCACACTTCATAATGCAAGTCAACATACCTCCTCCCAGGAGCAAAGGAAGCGCCCGTAGAGCAGTAATACGGCCCCTGTGGAGCCGGAAACCCGTTTGACGGCCAACCATATGGAAGTCCATCCTTAATCAGGAAAAACTCCTGCTCCATTCCAAACCACGGGTGCTCTTCCTGCCTCCGGTCAAATATGCGACGAGCCGTGGCACGTGCATTGTCCCTCGTTGGCTCGCCATTTGGCAGGCAACATTCAGCCAACACAAGAATCCATGGTGTTATTGTCGAGCGTCGAGGGATACAGCAGTGATAGGCATTAACTGGATTGAGTAGTATCTCCGTATCTGCGCCATGAGCCTGATTCGTCGAGGAGCCATCGAAGTTCCACACAGGAAAAAGACCCTCAGTAAGCAGCTCTTTGGGATGCTTCGCAATTTCATCTGTTGTCAGATACGCCGTTCGGTCCTTACTGCGGATGTCATGGTGAGAATCCTTGCCAGCTAGCCAGATATATGTTACCCTGCAAGCGATTCTCTTCTCCAACGAGTTCGTCATCCTTTTATGTTTATGTGGTTTACTTGTTGCTAACGATTCGGAACGAGAAAGCAAAAACAAAAAGAAAAAAAAAGGAAAAGCTAAAAGTTTGACAGAAAAATTTTCGGCCCAATTAGGAAATCTCCTCCCCGCATCGACTTTATTTAAAGCGGCTTAGCTTCGCCAGAAACAACACCCAAAAATGAGCAAAGCAAAACAAAAACAAAAGCAAAAAGGACCGCTTCCGTTCCGTTGCCTGTTCACCGCAACCGCATCGCCCATTGTAACGTATCGCCCCTACAGTTTTAATAAATACTGGAAAAAAAAAAGGAACAACAAAAAAAAATGTCATCTCCCGAAATGAAAGCAACCCTCGCAAGGTGTCAGTTTGTCCAGTGGCAAGAAAGGCAAGGAGGGCAAGTTATGCGGAAATCGTCTTTCCTCGAGGCGCCTCCCCATACTTTGACGAAAAGTTTTCAGAAGGGGAGGTCGCTGTTTTAGTTCAGCATATCCGACACCTCCCACTCACGATAGGATTATCCCACACGCGTAGAAGCACAGCCAAACAAGTTCCTAAAGCATACGCCAATGGAACCTGGGCTTTCGTTGCGAAGCGGCGAACTGGTGTTCGTTAGTGCCCCGCAATCGCCAGGCCCCTCCAAGTGACGGGTCATTGTAGGGGGTTAGTTTGAAAAATAAAAAAATGCATGCATCGTCGTCCAGCGCAGTGTCCTCGGAAACAAAAGTCAAGGCAATAAACAAAGAAACGGGGGGGAGCTCAAAAGGAATCGATACCACTTGTTTAGCCTATCCGTTTGCACATTTCACCAGAAACTTGTAATAAAACTATTCATGACAAACTTCTTCAAACTTAAGAGGGG